CATTCTCTCTTCTCTTTTTCTTAATTACCGTTATTATCGCAATATTTATTTTGCGCTTGCAATTAACATTCAAGAATAATTGCCCTTGTGTTGTTTGGCCAGGTCCATTTTCAGTACATTATAATTGATAGAGCTCTAGCTTTTTCTCCTCTTCAAGGAATTCTAAAAGTCCAGTGTTTAATTTCTTACATTTAAGACAGAAATTCCGCCGCTTAAGCTTAGTATCCATTTGAGAATGACTCTCGACAGTACTTTTCTTAAATAGATACTCTCTCTACCGTAACCGTAAAATTGATAATCTCTTTCGTTTTAAACAAGAAATTTTAGAAAATTGAGTCATAATATTTTAAGAGGGAACTTTGTGGCGCATTTCCCAGAATTCCCGAGGAAATGAAAAGAAATTCTCCGCGTTCCTTAATGAATATCAAATTCTCTCGCGGTGCGAAAAATCGTCTACAAATACAAATACAAGCGGCATCGCATCCTAAATTTCCCTCGATGATGAGAGGGATTAAGTTTCCTCGATCGATGGAATATATCTCTCATAATTTCACCCGCATACGAAGGACGAAGAGTCTAGCGTGTTGCTCGATTCGCGAACGTCTGCATTTATCTCGATTCCGCTTCCTTCCGTGCGAAACTTACGTCACTCGTGAATTTCATTTGCTCTCGATTCCTTCTCTCGCTTGCATTTCTCCCGCTCGCACATCGATTACTATTAGAGTACCGTTATAACGCGACGTCTATTGCACATCGCGGACTTTTCCTTTCTTTGCGGAATTGCGGCGAGTTCGCGTGACGACGATCCACCGTCTGCCGTGAAACGAGCGCGCTATAGTCTATAAATTATCCTACTAAGGTCTGCAACTTTATTTCTGCAGAATGGCCGGGATGACTTACTCCTTGGAAATAAACATTTGCAAAACCCTCGAATTTTCAGGGATTTCTTTTTTGATCTCGAATAATTAGGAAATTCTCGTGGGATTTTATTGAGATTCGGGGAAATTTAAAAAAGTTTTCCCTTTGATAAATTTTTCATATCAACATTATTTCTTCTCTTATCGATTATGCAATTAATATCTTGACAAAGTTTCTATTTACTTGAGAAGACTTTTTTTTATATCTTTTCTTAAAAATGTGTACTTTCGTATTTTAAATTATTCATTGTTTCGTTAATATCACAAACTGATAAAACACTAGTATATCTATAGTCTATAAACTATCCTACTAAGGTCTGCAACTTTATTTCTACAGAATGGCCGGGATGTCTTACTCGTTGGAAATAAACATTTGCAAAACCCTCGAATTTTCAGGGATTTTTATTTTTGATCTCGAATAATTAGGAAATTCTCGTGGGATTTTATTAAGATTCGGGGAAATTTAAAAAAGTTTTCCCTTTGATAAATTTTTCTCTTATACCGTGATGATGATATATTTTAAACATATATAATCAAATGGTGAATTAAAATACATTATAAATACATATATATCTAGCTCTGTCTATATATTTAATGTCAAATATTGAGCATAAATTATATGTTTTATTATTTTTTAGTAATAAAAATATAAAAATGTGTGTGAATCAATATTTGTCTTACGAAAGCTATTCAGTTTTTTTTTCAATATTTGCAAATTCAACACTTTAAACTTAAATGGCTTTGTGTTTTTCTTTTGTACAAATGAAAAGCATTAGAAAATGCAAACAATAAAAAATTTTATTTTAGAAAATTATATACAATAAATGCATACAATGAAAAATTTTAGTTTAGAAAATTATATCAAACAATCTTTCAAATATTATCTTTATTTGAAATGTTGAATAAAAATACCTAGAGGATCAAAGACGTTTCAGCGAGTTTTTTTTTTGTAAGATTTCACTTCGTTGTGACGGTTGTATTGTTAGGTCCAATTGATTCCGCAAATATTTCAAAAATGTTTTGAGTAGCGCGATTTCGTCACGTTTCATGGAAATATAAGAAAACGAAAAACATTTGGAATATACGTTAAGTAGAACGTTTTCGTAAATATATTAATTGAAATTGGTTTTTAAGGAAAAAAATTATTGTAGCAAAATTAAGTGACGCCGAAAAATTTATTTTTAATTAAAAAATTGTATTTATAAAACATATTATTTTACTTTTAATTGGTTTTAATAAATCAATAATTAAAATAGCGATATATGTATAGTGTTTTCAGTATATGTATATAATTGTCTAAAGCCTTTTCTTAAATTACTTTAAATTGCTTAGAAATTATAGTTTATTAGATAGATAAAATGTGCAAAATTAGCTACTGTTATTGACATAAAAATTATTTATATCAACATTATTTCTTCTCTTATTGATTATGCAATTAATATCTTGACAAAGTTTCTATTTACTTGAGAAGACTTTTTTTTATATCTTATCTTAAAAATGTGTACTTTCGTATTTTAAATTATTCATTGTTTCGTTAATATCACAAACTGATAAAACACTAGTATATCTTTATGAGTAATTAATGCGGAGGAGGATTGTACATTTCCAAGTGCATATACATAAATTGCAACTCGAATATTTTAAAGTTTCTTGAAATCTTAATTAAAATTTACGTTGAAAATATACAAGAGTCTCGACTTAGCTTGGTTATTTTCCTAAAATCTCCCGTGCACTGAAATATCACGATATTTTTGGTTTATAGAAACAGTGATATATTTTTAAAAAATCTCATTAGAAACTGGGTCGTCAATTATCGCTGCACTTTTCTCTCGAGAGGAAAAAATGTAATGGTTCTAAATTGTAGAATTTCTAAAACATCAAATACAATCCATGTCATGTTTTTCAAGCAATTTTACAACATTTTAAATCTAACAATAAGGGAAATTTCCAGGTACCAGCTATTCCATAATGAATATTGCTCCATAATGAATATTGCTATATTTATCGCAAATGTTATATAGACTTTTTCCTTTTTCTGAGATTCAAAAAATTTATTGATTCGAGCTCTTTTTTTACGTGTATATATTTGTAAATTACATATTTATATTAAATTTATAAGAATGTATTGACGTATTATCAGGCAATGTTATTTTAGCAAGATAAAATTCACTTGTTAAATACATTAAATATTTTGAACTTGCAAGTCCTCTCTCTCCTTCCTTTTAAATTGATTGATAATAGACAAGATTCTTTTGCGGGATTTGGGAAGCATTGTTCCATGAACGTTATATTACTCGATACATTTTGACGGAAACATGCGCATAAATTTATGCATCGTATGGAAACTGCACACGTTTGTGTTGTATTACGCTTTATCTGTATGCAGCACTTATTCGTCCACCATATCCCCTGCCGTCCGAATACATGAATATATGTATTATCTCTAAGTTTATTTATGCTAGCCGTGTGAGAATTTCTATAAATGTGCAACTCATGCCGGCGTTGTACGAGGTGTCTCGAGATACCTGTAACAGCGATGTAAGTCGAGCTCTTTGGCAACTTTGACGCGATAAAACTTGGACGCGTGCGTCGAGATAATTAAATTTTCACAAATTTTTTTCGCGATCTGCCAACCTCGCAATTTTCAGCGATTACATCTTCGTGTTGATAAAATTTGAAAAATGCCGATGTATCCTATATTCTTTTATATCTTATCATTTTTTTTTCCTCAAACTGTCTTCGGTTCTTCGTCTTGTAAGGAGCGCTTTGTGCCGTTACAAAGATACACGCAGTGAATCGACAAGAAATTCGATCGACTTCCCGTTTCAGATGTAACTGTAATTGCATACTTACGCGCGATACGCGTTCGTTTAATCTCCTGTACTCACTGTACGATTGATACACCGCGCCATTGCGAAAGAAAAGGCATGGTAAACAGACCGCGTGCGTTTCCGCAGTGTCACGACTGCTCCCTATTGATGCATTCAATCTATTCACGCCGAGTGGATGTATGAAAAACTATGTCGGTGATAATTGAGCGATATTAGTGACGTGTCTGTATGTATCGTCATAATTGATCCGCTATTGATGGTCATAGTGCTTGTAATGGTCTACCGATAGATCAAGTCTGCGATGTTAGAAAGCAACTCTCCGTTGAGTATCCTATTCCCATTCCCTTCAAGTATCCTATTTAAAATGTGCAATTTATAAAAGAAGTATTTTTATAAACAGCCTTTATCGCAAGGTTCTCTATTTTCATTTCAATGACAAATTCAAGTTGTAAGTGTTTTTACAATATATCATCAGAAATATAATTTTTTTTAATGAATGTGAATTCATAATTTCCATATTTTCGTTTTTTAAATTTTCTAATCTTTTCAACGATATATAGAGAGAACTTTTTTTTTTTAAATATAAAAATCATGATAATCGTTTAGACACAATATGCCATTTTAATTAATGTATTTTATATAATTTTTTTGATTTATTAATACGAACTATAATAAAATATTAAATGCACTCGGTTAGATTTTATTAAAGTATTTTGTATATATAAGTTCAATAATTTATTAATAAATTTATTAATTAAAAAATGTTTAAGAGAAAAGACTTATTTTTTTAAAATAAAAAGCATGCAAAGTAATAGAAATTCAAGTATAGATTTTATAAAAACAGTACGATATTTTCAATTGCTCGTAAAATATTAAAAAAGTACAATCTATATTTATAAAAAAATGCGTGAAAATTTTAAAACAATATAAAACCATCAATATAAAACCAATATTTATATACGTGCCTGCGAAGTTGTCTCAAGATTACTAAAAAAATGGGAAAAAATAATGAAATTTACGTTCAAATGTAACGAAAAATTTTGTTCTCGTAGAGAGTTTCATTTTATAAATTTTTCACTCGTTTATACTAATCTTGTAGATTCGAGCGTAATTAAAAAAAATTTTTTTTCGAACATTTTCAATTTATAGTAATCGTAAAATGCGCGTTTTTCCTCCGATAATCTCGCGGTTCAAGACCAGAGAACATGTAAAAATACCTATATTCTACAGCTCCGATTTTCGTTTGTTGCAGTTCACAATGCGCTAGGGGTGATGGAGACAGTGGGCAAGCAAGTTCAGGTAGTGAGCGGACTGGGGGGTCCGGTGGGCCCTGTGGGCCCAGTCGGGGGAGATTTGCATCACCATCATCACCCTCACCCGCACGCCCATCCTCCGCACCCGCATCCCCACCCCCACGGTCATCCCCATGGGGCCCACGGCCACTCGCTCGTCGGCGCGACGTCGAACCCCGGTAGAGGTCAAGCCCAACCACCCGTCTCGCATAATCAGCACGTACCTGCGAGATCCACTCCCGTACAGCTGCACAGGTAAGTCTTTTCTATTGTATCCGACATTATATCGGAATCGTCGTTTTCAGCATTCTTATATAATCACGCGTGGATAAAATATTTCACGAGCGCGAGAGAAAATAGAAACAGTTAAAAATTGAGCGATAACGTCTGACAAATATTTTCCGCTTCATCGAAGAGGGCCACCGAGGTGAATCAAAACGTCTCGCGCACTCTTGATCTTTTGATAAACGACCGCTATAAATAATTACGTGTTTACAATCATATTTTTCTCTCAATTATATTAGTTCATTATATTATTGACAGTCGTAATTAATAATAATAAATAATTATATTACTCTCTAATAATATGATTTTATATCAAACAGCTGTTTTCATTTATCTCGCGTTTTTTCTCTTCCCATAAAGTTTGCTCCAACAAAGAAATTTTGAGAAATATAGGCTCGTAGAGAGAATCCCAGATTCTATCGAAATTCCGAAAACGAGTCGCATACGGTGAAAAGGGAACACGAATTGAAAGCCGATACGACGGCATATGTATTTTAAGAAGGAAAGTCCACGGGGCCCGACATTGGAATGGGGATGGTTCGGATGGTTAAGATGGTTGGGACGAGGAAAATGAGAAAGGGACTCGTGCAGGAACGTTTGTCGTGCAGGTGCCAGGCAGACATTCGTGCGAGATGGTACGTCTTTGAGAACGGGACTGAAAAATGCTCCGTTTTTTTTCCAACGTGCATTTCGACGAAAAGATCTGCATCTGGTGCGAGTGTCTTTTGGTAAAGGAGCGCATATAGTCTTTTGATCGTATGGGGATATTATCGTACTCTGTCGAGACGAGGCGTTCATTCGTAGATTCGTTGCGAGATTCTGCTTATGCAGAATACAAACACACACACACACATATCTTGTTTTCTTTACTTCAAAGTCGCAATACAAGAATAAAGATGCGTTTTACGAGATCCCGATTATAGAGGCCTATTACAAGAAGCAACAAACTTTATACCACTAGTTATCTCGAAATGCGCGTCTTTGCCGTTTTAATTGCGTCTCTTGTAGGAGTTATCTATTCTATTCAAAAATCAACAATCATTCAGACTCTTTGGGACTATGCGAGGGGCGATGCAAATTTTTATACTATGCGGTTTGTTTTACTACTTCGTCAGTCATTCGCGTGATTATCTTTTTTTGAAACTCTTCAATATTCATATTAGTTAGTGTCGACTACGAATCTTGATATCTAATATATAAATCAAAAATTCGATTATGATAAATTTCGATAAAAATCACGTATATTCTGACATCTACTTTGATGCGACGAAAAATATCAATAGATTTATTCACATAAAATATATTTACTTATCAAATTATTTATTTATAAAATATCTTTTATTGTATATTTTATCTCAAATATCGCGAAAAAACAGAAGGTTATGGCATTTTTTAATTTAAAAAATTGTTTTTTAAAATAATTCTTATATATAAAATATATATCTTATATATAAAATAATTCTTATGTATAATTACAAGTAATTAAGCAAACGATACGATTCATTATTTTATTTTACATTTAAAAAAATTAAATAGTAAAATCATATAATGAAAAAAAAATAGAGACGGTTCTCTTATACCAAATCCATTCTACAACGATAGTCTAAATCGATCGTTTCTCTATGCTAGTTTATTTTGAAACGCGTTTTCCTTGATTGCATGTGTCTCTTGTAGTCAAGATTCCGTTTAGATTTCCATGAAAGATTTTAGGATATACTTCTGAAACTATCTTATACGAAATTGTGTCACACAGTTGGATTGACTTGATTTGTATAGAGAATTGCTTTATTTTCTGTAGGAAGAGCTTTTAAAGTTGATGTGTAATTTTCGAAACATTAAAATCGAGTCAAATAATATATAATTTATAATAAGAGAATTACACAATAGGAGTTTTACTTGAAAAAATTTAATATAATTATAAAACTCTTGCAGAGAAAAAATAAATTCATCCGTTGATAAAAATTACCGAAATGCTACTCCATGATAAAAAAGAAATATTATATAAAAGTTTTTAAATAATATATTTATATAAGCTTCAATTAAAACTTTTTATTATGAAAACTTATGGCTCTTAATAGGAGCTTCTCTTTTCGATGATCACTTTATAAATTCATTATCGATACAATTGTGTGAAACTAAAAGATACGCTTTAGTGCTCGGATTAATATCGGTGAAATATAATTTTTGTATCTCTCTCATATGTACGTATTCGTTCAAAATATCGCATCTTTTCACAAATCTCATTGTTTTACGAAACATGAATAATTCTCTTCGGCAATTTCATGCCATACATCAGAAATGTACGTTACTTTTGTCCTATATTGTTCTTTACGCTCGCGAGTGCTCGAATGTTTGTATGAATAAAGATATGAGATCATTACGACCTTTCTACACGGTATCTTGCATCGTACAAAGACGTGCAAACGGCAAACGGATGTTTTCAGAACAAGAGAACGTGACTGCTGTTTTTTCCTCCAGATATATAATGTCTCTATGTGAAAAGGTGTCGATGTATTATTGGCATTTACAGTTGACGCGTCGACGTTAGATCATATCTTTGTGAAAAAAATGTTAACTAGGAACGAGACATTCGCACATTGGCTGTCCGATGTTAAATAATGTAATTTTCTTCCTTTTTTTTTAAATAGATCTTTGTGATATTTTTTGTAAAATTTATTTAAAATATTTGATTAATTATTTATATTTATAAATAATAATTATTAAATAATAAATATTTATAACTAAAAAAATATTTCATAAATGATAATTATTCATAAATACAGCTATATGGGTTATCATACTGTTATTTTTGAAACGGGCGTTAGAGGTCGTGCCATTTATTTTTAATCGAGATGAAACTGACTGAATTTCATTAGCACGGATTTTTTGTGTTTACACTCGTCGATATACTTATGGAGGCGATACTATCGAAATATAAATTTTCGTGTATGATAGTTGCAGGTAGACTAGCAGAAAAGATGAGAGATATTTCAGCCCAAGACAACGCAATCTACGCAAAGTTCTAACTCTGTGAGAGTTATATAAGATGACGCGGCTTAGAATACACTTTATGTACGAACCGCGAGCCTCTTGGCTCCATTTGCATTGTATTTTAAGCCTATTACATAGCGAAGAATAGCAACGCCGGAAAATTTGAAACCGTACAATACAAAATTACAAAGAAACAAGGTACAAAATTATACACACACACACACACACACACTCTCTATCTCTCTCTTTCTCTCTTTTGCTTTTATTGTAATGCGCAATGTCATATTATCAATTTTGACAAGATTATACAGGGTGTCTACTCTCTAGAAATTTTCAGGGATTTCTCTTATATCTGGAAAAATTATGGAATTTTTGCTTGGTCTCGGGGAATTTTGTAAAAAACTCTCTTTGATAATTTATCGTATTGTAACAATCAGCAAATGAATTATATGTTTAAAATATAATATAAATATATATTTATTTTTTTTGTTCATCTACTCAATATTTTACAAAATATTGAATATACGGTATATATTATTCATTGTTATAATTTTTAGTAATAAAAAAATGAGTATTTTATGCAGGTGAAAAATGTTCATCTTTCTTGCAAAAGTTATTAGTATTTCGTTTTTTTCAATACATTTTTATAAAATTAATTTACTTAGAAAGCTTAATTAACTAAGAAGCTCTGTTTTTCTTTCATATAAGTGAAAAACGCATGTAATAAAAATATTTATTTTAAAAAATTGCATAAAAAATTCTTTAAAATATTCTGTTTAATTGGAATTTGGGAAAAAATAGTTGGAAGATGAAGAAATTTTTTTTAAACAGACACCCTATTATATAAAATTTAAATAGAGTTTTTTGTACCAGTTAGAATTCAAAGAACTGGTATAACTTGTTTGTCTTAATTAATCAAAAACGTTTCTCGAAAAAGAAATAAGAGACTTATAAAAGAAATAAGAGATTTATTAGATAAATAGAAACGTTGCAAAATTATTTTTTCATAATTATATATGTTATTTCTTTTTACTTTTTCTGGTTTTTACAATAAATTTACATTTTTTAATAGCATGCGCATATAAATGCTCTATTGATTTTATAGAATCTGTATTTTGTAATTTTTTAATTAAATCCGTATATCGCACTTTATGAAGCTAAAGAACAGTCATTTATAATCCTCCTTAAATGAATGATTCATATACACACTTATGTACATATCAATTAGACATAATGATTAGAAAAAATTCTAAGGAATATTTCTTGAAAAATTATTCATTACATAAGAAGTAATATTATCACTTGTATGACACATCTTTCTTAGTATGCAAGATATTCGATCAATATCGTATTAATTGTTGATTACACATTTTTCGATCAATTTGAATTCATCTTTTTCTGAAACAAATGAGGATACATTTTTAGATAACAGGATATTATTTACATAAAATGCAAAATTATCACAAAGATCGACGTTTCAAAACATTTGTAACTTTTAATTATCATTTTCTTTGTTAACTTAAAAAGAAAATATATTTCGATATATATTACTTTATTATACGAACAAGAAAATTCAACACATTTTTTACGTTGATTAAATATATACATATGTGTTTTTAGGATATATATGTGCCTCAGTCGTATCAAAGAGATAAAAATTTTTAATATCTTTGCGAGCTAAATTTATTCATCTACGACCTCGGGGTTGCTTTGAAAACTCGCCAGGTGCCTCAAAAGTACAAAGTCTTTAAAAACGACGCTACCTCCATCGCAAACTATTAAAGCCGTCGCATAAATACAGATGCCCTGTACGCTTATGTGCTCTCTTCCACAATCTGTCTCTTAAAATCTACAACGTGTATAAAAAAGAGCGAAATCCTAAAAAAATGACTGAATGCACGTCTTTCATAGAGAATAATTTTTAAAAACATGAAAGTTCGGGAGAGAGACTCGTCTCGGTGACACTTTACGATCCATTC